CAAACGTGTCTCTCTCTCTCTATATATATATATATATATATATATATATATATATATATATATATATATAAACAGTTGAAGTCAGAATTATTAGCCTCCTAGTTTATTTTTTCCCTGATTTCTGTCTAATAGAGTGAAGATTTTATAATAACTCATTTCTAATAACTGATTTATTTTATCTTTGTCATGATGACAGTAAATAATATTTGACTAGATATTTTTCAAGAGACTTCTATACAGCTTAAAGTGATATTTAAAGGCTTAACTAGGTTAATTAGGTTAACTAGGCAGGTTAGAGTCATTAGACAAGTTATTGTATAATGATGTTTTGTTCTATAGACTATCGGAAAAAATATATAGCTTAAAGAGACTAATAATTTTGACCTCAAAATGGCTTTTGAATATTAATAACTGCTTTTATTCTAGCCGAAATAAAACAAATAAGACTTTTTCCAGAAGAAGAAAAAATACCAGACATACTGTGAAAATTCAAAGGGGGACTAATAATTCTGACTTCAACTGTATATGTATATATATAAACCATTTCATATTGGTCGTGGAAATATTCTACTTTTAATGAGCTCCAGGCACATGTGATCCACACACAGATCAGTTTATCTGCGGTTTCAGCACAGAGATCAAAATACCAGAGTAATTCATGCGTTTGATCCCTGCTGTACTACAACATCTGCGGATCTGAAGGAGCATGCAGTCGAACAGTCAATATGACATGTTTGCGGCCTTATCGGAAATGCATTATGGCTAATAGTTTACCAAGTGATAAACTAATCTCTTCTGGGAATATTTGTGTAAGTATGTCACACACAGTCAGACTGGCACAGTTATAAAGCTCTGGCAGACTCCTTAAAGATTGCTTGAGTCCATGTAGTTTGGCCTTTCTGATCATTTTGTGTCGCATGAACTCTTAAATGATCTGGATTTGCTGCTTTTGCACTGTAATATTTAATTAATTTCAGCTTAAACGTAGTTGCATGACACTTTTCACAATATTCACTGTAAAATAGATGCGTAAATGAGCAGTTTTATGTATTTTGTGATTCATGTTTTTATTTCCCCCCGTTTATTTATGCTTTTGAATTGCATTATGAGAGTTTGATCTTTCTTCCAACACCTTTTATCCTTGAAAAGTAAAAAAAAAAGTGACTTTAATGAACATTTTTAATAGTTTAAAGTTAAATATTGACTGGTTTGTGTTCTATATTACAATAGAAACACTTTGTTAAACGAGAAAACTTGTTGTGAGAATGGAGATGTCTGCTTATTTATGCCAGTCTGTCAGATAAAATTGTTTAAAACACCTTAATTCGTTTTGCTCCATGTGAGGAGGCTGGATCTGATCTGTCTGATGAAAGACACAGTTTCCCCAGCTCAGGTGCTGATGAGACACTCCGTGTGGGGGATCAGTCTCATTAGTTTTAGGCCTTTTGGCAAATATCTCAATTTCGTTTATCTGTTTTAAAGAGCATTTACTCATTTTGAACCTGGTTTTAAACAATAGCTATCTGAATTGTAATTGTTCGTGTGAAAAAAAAAAAACGCAAGCAAAACTAAAGCCAATAGATTTCTTTAGCCATCTCCCACCATGCAAATACATACATGCTTTAAAACACACAAACCTTTATTTTTTGTCATTCTTTCTTGCTTTGTCAATATATCGTAGTGCAATGGTTCTCAAACTGTGGTACGTGTACCACTACTTCTAGTGGAACGCGGAGGAACCACTGAGTAATGAAAGAAAAAAATTTAATAATTTGATGCGCGATGAAGTGGCGCAGTGGGTAGCACTGGGTCGAACCTCGGCTCAGTTGCCGTTTCTGTGTGGAGTTTGCATGTTCTCCCTGCGTTTGCGTGAGTTTCCTCCGGGTGCTCCGGTTTCCCCTACAGTCCAAAAACATGCGGTATAGGTGAATTGGGTAGGCTAAATGTATGAGTGTGAATGTTTCCCAGAGATGGGTTGCAGCTGGAAGGGCATCCGCTGCGTAAAAACTTGCTGGATAAGTTGGCGGTTCAATCCCCAGATTAATAAAGGGACTAAGTCGACAAGAAAATGAATGAATGAATTTGATGCGCACGATAAAACCAATGTGATCAGCATTGGCTGTTTTCTAAAGGTTGATTTATACTTCTGCGTCAAACGCCGGTGTATGCTACGGCGCTGACGCATAGCCCTTCGCTGTGGCTGTCGGCGTCGCTGACGTGCACCTCTCAAAAAATGTAACTACACGTCGCAACGACGCGTAGCGCAAGCTCTGTGATTGGTCGGCTTGGTAGGGCTAACGAGTCTGGGCGGGACCAAGAGCCGCGTGAAAGGTGGGAGCCCGATGGAGCGATTGTTTACACGTGTGGAGTCCTGTGAAGGAGCTCTGGATGGAAAGTTTGGTTTTGTGTTTACCTCATAGTTAAAGTTGTTGCACGTCCACCGGTTCCTGCCTCAAAATGAGCGAGTTTGAGCCACTTGTACATCCCGTAAGTGTTCAGGAAAAGCAAAACAGCAACGAAGAAGCTCAACACAGAGGAACATTTACACCTCACTGCCAACTAGCGTTTCGGAAGTGTTAATGCAGACCAACAGAGACAGCGCGCAGAAGTATAAATGCACAGCTACGCCCGTTGCATGCGCCGTGGGTTAAGGCAGTCACTTGATGCAGAAGTATCAAAGCGCTGTGCTTACAATGTTCACTTTAGTGCATCACGTCCTCAGCTGCTCAGCACCGGTGTATAGATGAATTGGTACTGGGCAGAACAAAAAAATCATTAATGATTTCCGTTTTATTTATTATCTGAGTCTGAACAATCATTTATTTAGAAAAATCTCTTATTTTGAAAAATGACCGTATTCTCGTTGCATCATGGTCACTCGAGTGCCACAATTTAACCCACAGGCTAGTAAAATGAGTAAGAACTGCAGCACGATGCGCTTGCATATTCCAGGCGTGCCCAGTTGAAAACATCTCTAACTTTTCAGAATACCGCACCGCGAGTCACGTGACAAAAAACGACTGATCAGCTTCATATTTTGTACAGAATATCATTTTGTTAGACTAACTATGTCAGACAAGCACAGAACACCCAAACACTGCAGTGCTTTTTCTTTTTCTCCATAAATAAAACTTGCATCAGAGTGCAGCAATGTTTTGTCAGCTTTGTCCTCTGAGAAAAATGGGTTCCCTACCAATCTATAAACAAGTTAATGTTTAGACTTCAAAAAGTTTTACAAATATGTTTTATGTACACGCAATGTATATTTTAAAATATATTAAATATTGTATTAATACGAATATGACTCTCGTTTTCGAACTGTGCAGTGCTGTAGCTGCTTAATTTGGCCAACTACGCTGCTGTATTTCAATACTGGTCATTATGGTGGTACATGGAGAGACCATTTTTTTCTGAGGTGGTACTTGCTGAAAAAAGTTTGAGAACCACTGTCGTAGTGTATACTGTTTAATAATCGATTTGAATTATGTAATAAATAAATAAATAAATAAATAAGTGCCACAGTGCGTACAGCCGTACGACTGCAGGCGTCACTGAGCACATGCATTGACTCATCATTAGTCCATAATAAAGTAATGTTTAGTTTACATATTAACACATCATTATTCATGTACTAATATTGTAAAGTGTTACCCTTTTTAAACTATATATACAATAGTAGCCCTCAAAACACACCACTGAATTACTCAGAATACCTATTAAATAAATACACATGTGAGCATTTAAGATCAGATTTGTACATTTTGACATTTGCTTGCATTACAATCTACAAAAGTAGGAGGTGAGGTACATTAGTTTTTGTCTCCAGCTTTCAAAGAGCCGTTGTCCTGCACAGTTGGTCAAGATGCAAATGTGCTCCTCGTGTTTGACTGTTCAAACGTTCTGATATCAGCACATGAGCGGGTTACAGAGGGCCAATGTGGATCATGTGACAAAAAAAACAAACAGATGAGGAAGCTTGAGGAAATACTGCTGAAAATATGAACCTCTGATCTGAACTGGTTTAATTTTCCACTCTAGTCTTTCTCCAGA